ACATATTGAATATTATCTAACAATTTGTATTAGCCTAAATTCTAAACATTTTTTCTTCAATTTTGTTAGATAATATTCAATATGTCTACATTTTAAAACGTTGTAATAGTGTGCAGCAGTATTTTTTTAACCAGCTTAATAAATTAGGTTCATGTTGTTATTTGCATTATTTGGCTACTTCCTATAAACACAGAACGATGTAAGTTTGACCATAACGTCTATTTGCCCAAACAAAGCAGCGTGTTTATATGTCGAGCTGCTGCATTCAGGCTTCCTCTAACAAATGGGTGAGCTTAGTGTTGCTTGTTTAAGCTAAGGAAGTGCATAAATACCTCTGTGTGACATATAGTAACTGGAATTTGATGAGCTGCCTCGAGTGTTTTTGTCTTCTCTTCAATTTCCGAGAGATGACATGGCCTCTGTTGAACCTGCCGGTCTAATAAACGGCGCTGTCTGGTGTGTAGGACCCAGCGAAGAAGGGAAGCTCCCGGTGAGAACTGAGGAGAGAGCGAGAGAGGGAGAGAGAGACTCCTCCTCGTCTCCGGTGTCAAACTTGACATCAGCCTCAGAGCCGAGAATGGTAACTTGTGTCGGAACAGAAGCCCTCACATGAGTGGCATGCTTCATGGAGTTATGTACCTTGCGTTGCCCCCTGATCTGATATCATGGATTGCAAAACCTTAATACTTTTTCTTTTTTTCTTCACGCTTATTTCCAGCGCAGATTTCATTATTCATCCGTCCAATGAAGGTAAGATAACGTCTGGAGTGAGAGACATTACATGCTCATCAGTGCTTACTGTAGCGTCTAGTAGACTGTGCCCTTCATATATTAGTTGACTTGGGCTTTATTTGCATTTCTTTTAAAAAAAATTTATTCATTTTTTTTAAATATGCGATTTGGGTGCAATTGGTATAGTTACCTGCTTTAGCCTACCTCCGACGCTCATTCAGTAAGCCGCGGCGAATTTGATAAAGGGTTAAACCTTCGCTCGTTCACTTTTTCAGACCAGCTGTTCCAAATGGACCGATTAATTCTGCGAATCAATATTTTCGCGTTTCTTCGCGAGACGCACTGGCTTGATTTTGCGAGAAATGGCTACAAATGCATCGCTGCAAATGCAACTTTTAGGACTGTTTTTATTGTTTGATAACGACACTCGTGTGCGTCGTGATGAGAGCATATTTTGAGACCATCGATCTGTTGGGAAAGCACGGACGCGCACCGGCTGAGAAATCCAGTTTAAAAATCATTTAGGCTAAGCACAGCGCATAGTCTTTCTAAAGACTACACCATAGACTCTTTTTGAATTTGCTGCATTTTCACGTTTTTTTAAATGAATAGGCTACATTTCCTAAATGTGTTCTTCTCATACACTGACGAAATGTAACATGGACTTTAAGTGTGCGCGCTGCGTTTGTTTGCTACACTTGCATCTTGGTGTAATAGCCACGCAAAACTTAGTGATACTTCACTTCAAATAGTCTTCTGATAATTGGGTGCCTGTCATGTAGCCAATCCACATGTTTATTTTTGTTTTATTCATTCATGTTTTGTACAAAAAAACACTTTGATTTAACCTTAATTATAATTTAATAATAGTGTTTATATTGCCATAAGAAATTGACTATGAGTGGCTTCTTTTTTTTTTTCTTCTCAAAAATAGAGTTTACCGACGTTGTTTAAAACTGTGCGTGTCAATTGCCGGTGACAAGATGAGTAGTTAACAAGGTTAGCATATTGGATTAAGCTTTTACAGATTATTTTATTTTATATTTTCAATTACATATAGCCGTATGGGATAATCTGCTGAAGTACTTTAAAGGCCCAAACAAACTCATGAGATTTTAAAATAAAGTAATGAGATCAGGCTACAATCAAAGAGTGTCATAAAACAAAGTTGTACGAAACTTTATATCTAAGCCTAAAATAATTAAATAAAGTTTCTCCTTATTTAGTTTTTCTAACAAAGTTAGTATATTTCTTGTAGGCCTGTATTATTATTTTATATTATTATTATTATTATTTTTACATCTAAATCTTTATCTTGCTCTTTTGTGCGACGGGAATCGAGATATACACAGATCTTAAGAACGTAGGTTATACTTATAGGTTAGATTTAAATTGATTTTATTTTCCTTCAAATGAAAGGGAACCCTGTTTGTCTACGCGTAGGATGTCAATAACAGCTTTGTTCACAGAGATTAGATTTGTCCCGTTCAGAACTGAAGTTTTTATAGTCGCTCGGGTAAATGTTTGACAATTTAAAAATCTTTGTATAGTAGGCTATCACCCTATGCGCTTATTGTACCTTATTCAGGCCTGTGCCCCAAGTGTTCTTATTAAAGGCCTAATTAGAAAAGGGAGAGCGATTTTCGCTCATCATACTCAACACTGTTGTTAAGTGAGGCAGAAAATTGAAAGTTTGTTAATATAACTTCTTATTATTCTGCAAGGTTGTTTTGTATTGGAATATAAAGTTTTGCACAAGAGTGTCCAGACTGATCTGTGTAGAAAGATACGCATTGTTCAGGTTGTCACCTCAAGGGTATCTTTCTGATGTTTCAACTCTCTGTTCTGTAACGGAGCGGGTCTTTTCCCCCTCTCATTTTGTGATTTATGGGCTGTGAATTACCTTTTGCTCAAATAGTATCTAATGGGACGTGTTTTTCACCAGAGAGTGTCAGTATAGAGCCACATCCATTGAAATAATTTTGAGCAAAGTGTTTTATGCAGCTTGCAGTTCTTTTATCAACCCAAACGTCTTTTTATGACCCCCATTATGAATAGAATATTTAAAAGAAATATTATTTTTTTATTTAAGTAATATTGAACGTGTTAGGCAAGTTTTAAACAGTTCAATGACCTCCAATTACGGCCACAAACCGAAAAGCAATTTCAATCTGCGTCGATTGAATTGCGCTTCTTTATGGTGATCGTATGCGTTTTTATTAATGTTAATATCTAACAAAATTCTTAAGAAAATACAATTGCAGTCAGTCATTCAGAATAATATAAAAAAAAACGGATGAGACTCATAAATCTTTTCAGAGAAATGTGATTCAAAGGTCATCAATGTGAAACAAGAATCAAAAGGACTTTCTCCCTTTTTCCAGAAAATAATTTGTAATATAGACATATTTTTCCCATTTATGTATTTGTTTATTTGTAATAAGCTAAAATTCATAACTTTCTTTGGCTCTAAAAAAACAAAGCCCGCATTCTTGACTTAGGACTTTTTAGATCCACTCGGACTGAAATTAGCCTATTTACTACATGGACCAAGCCCTTTACCCCTACATCAGGTTGTACAAAAAGAAGAATAATGATAAAAACTTTAGAGTAAAAAGCTTTATTGCATATAATGAATTTTAACAACCAAAATCTTAAAGGGCGCATTGCATTGCGACCTGATTTGTGTCGGTCCCCGTGTGTTGGCTCTTATATTATAAAATCGTTATTATTATTTATTTTCTAAGATGAAGGGAATAATTAATGCAAGCCTACTTTTCATTGTATTTTAATTAAGCATGATTTAGCATTGCACTTTATTTAAACCCGTTGTTATCAGGCTTGTTAATGTTTGGGACAATTCAAGAAATGAAAAGTACACTATACAACTAAAGACATATTATAATTATAATACATAAAAATATTGCATAATAATATTAATAATAATAATAATAATAATAATAATAATAATAATAATAATAATAATAATAATAACAATAATAATATTAAGAAGAAGAAGAAGAAGAAGGAGAAGCAAAAAGTTATTTTAATATTTTACTGATTAACTAAGCTTTGAATTGTATGTTAAATCTAAGGTAATTTGAGATATTTGTAAGATATTTTGTTAAATATACAAGCAGCATAGCAATTTATAATTGCATTTTGTTCTTAAAAGCTGCATAAAAATACTTGAGGCCTTTTTAGTAGGCCTTGAGTTCTGTTGTAATAGAACAGATGAAAAATCATATATTTTTCTGTTTTCTTTCTGAACACATTGTTTCATTTATTTTTAATCCTGATATATATTTTTACCTGGATGTTTGTTTATTTATTTATTTATTTATTTATTTATTTATTTATTTATTTATTTATTTATTTATTTATTTATTTATTTATTTATTTATTTATTTATCTATCTATTTATTATTGTCTTTTTTAATACTATAAATTATGCTAAGGTTTCTTGAAGTAAAAAAACGTTTGCTTATTAAAATGGCCTATCTTAAACTTTTTGTTTAAAGTTTTTAATAAATAGTGGTGAGTATCTTAATTAGCACAGTGTCTAAATTAATATTAAAACATACACACATAACAGGAAAACCAGCAAACTAATAGCTTCTTTTTTGTATCTAGGCATACTGCCTACTGAAACAGTTTTCTCTTTAAAGAAGCCAATTATAATTTTTGCTATTTTTGGGCTTAAACAAGTTAAGTTTGTGGTGGGTAAACTTTTGAAACCGATCTACCGATCTAATACATATGGTCCATTCTACCATCAGTACACTCACGGCAGACCGTTTTTCTGAGCATATGGGACCACGTTGACCACATCCTTACAGAATGATTTCAACAAAATAACAAAAAGTCTCATTGAAAAATCCCAGAAAATCTTCACAAAGCCGATCAGCTCCAAAATGAAGCATCTGCCAAAAACATAAATACAGATGTAAACAAATCATACAGCACAATTACGTTACTAGGGTTTCCATTTTCTAACTTGTGGCCAAAATGGCGCAGTATGCAAGCCACAATGCTCTGCTCGCTCAGACTATGTGATGGCAGCACAACATGGTGTGATGTCATGGTGCACTAGTTTCCAGTTGTGATGGCTGATGTTTTGCGAGTGATGTTACTTTTCAGATGTGTGGATTTCATAATTTTATTTAGTAGATTTGTTTTTACATATTCAAACAAATACAACATCGTCATTATGACAATTATGTTTAGGTCATTCTGATGGGTGGGTTTGAGTCGGTGGGTAGAAAAGCTGGGAGCAGGCAGACACCCTGAGACTCGACTGAATTATTCATATTGTTGAGGTTAATACTTCATTGCCATCTTGCCACTATGGGTGGAACTTTCGATAAGGCTGCAAGATCTAATTTTCCATTGCTTTTCAATTTTAAAAAAGTTCAAACTTTGTAATGAATTAGAAAAATATGAGTGCCAGATTTGACTGATGTATTAACCCTTTCTTAAAACTAATAACCACATTTTTTGGCTCATACGGTTCCCATAAGTCACAATAACTCCAATAAAGTATTGACTTCTTGTAAAAAATATTTCCGATGCACATTTGGGATTTCTCATGACTCTCATGGGCTTTCTATGAAGGTTGACCAGCTGCAAGGAAGGATATAGTGTGAGTTAGAAAAGGGATCATTTGAGCAGCAGCGGGTATTTTGGACACACATACTGAGGCCTCTCATTCTCACTTAAAAATCCTTTGAAAATAATCCCCAAGTCCGCCATGTGTCTTATACACCCACAGTCAGATTTTAATAAAGCCAGACATTAGCTCCTGTGCTCTCCGTGGACCTGATGTTTCCGAGGTGTTCAGACACCTGACTTTCATCTTAATTCAATAAAAGATTTAATTAACTATCTGAGAGGTGAAAAGGATGGTGAGAAGAGAAGGCATTGTGTCATTTACAGGCCATATGGTTCTTGTATGCACATGCAAATCTTTTTTGTATGGTTTAATCCATGCCATGATCTCAGCTATGTTCAAGGTTAGTCGCTTTTATTTGCGAGCTCTCTGTATGACCTGATAGAAACACAGTAAATTTTAAGAGCTATAAGGAAATTGTATTGTAAATTGTAATTTTTAAACAAATTTCTTGACAAGCAAGGTCCAAGCAATGGCACTTTTCAGTGTATGTGGTGTAGCTACATTACATCTACAGTAATTTGATAATTTAATAATAAGAATGTATAAAAGTTTTGCTACATTACAACGAAAACTAATAGTTTATTATCTATGTTTATTTTAGTTTATTTTTAAAAGGTAAAAAGGTTTTAAATGGTCCCGCAATGTAACTAATTAAATATTTAGTCTAGTCAGTATATATTGCGTGCATCTGTGTACAATAAGACAATTTAACTTAGCTATAGTATTTGTATATAAATGTACAGTAAACCCTATATCTCTATGTTAATGAATAAAAATAATTCAGCAGTTTTAACTAGCATATTTGATGAATACAGTATTATAATTAGTTCCAAACTCTCGTTTTCACCACTGTTAATGTGTTCGATCAATGTGCCATGTGCTGATGAAAGGAAAACAGTAGCTAGTAGTGCAGGGATGATACATTTGAGAGCCAGATGCCCCTTGGTGGCCTGTGGTTGGATTGCTAGATTATTGTCTCGCTCCTGTATCGATTTAGCTATTTTGTCTGGTGTGGTGTGGTTTGGTTGGATGTGTTGGCCGTAGATCAGCTGTTCATAAGCAGTTCTTTGTTTTGTGCTTAGACATGTTGATGCTACACTCGTCTGAAAATGACGTCGGCTGTGATTTCCTTTTCTTACAGCTGCAGAATTTGCCTCACCCATGTAGCTATCTAATTTTATGGTCTCAAATTTCCCTGGTCGGCTCAATTTGAGATGCCGGCTCGGCTCATTGAGAAATTTAAATTGGAACCAACGGAGCTGGATGTGAGCTGCCATTATCTGACATAAGCAGATAGCTTTATTATAGTTAATAGGGATCATCTACAATATGAGAATAGCCAGCTGTTTGGCTAGCACTCAGGTGGATTGCTGTTTTGCGTTGGAATTTGATAATGGGGTCTACAATTGACTCTTCTCATAGTCCATGATATTAACACTGGCAGCCATCATTATGGATGTACCTAAGCTAATTGCTTGCAATTTTAGATATCAACTATTGGATATGATCAATTAACCAATAAATCTATATGATTAGACAAGAAAATGAAGTAATAAAAAGTAATAAACATAAATGTACTAATTGGGCATTAGATGATTGGTTGAGTAAATGCCCAGATTATTCAAGGAAGTCTACCAAGACAAAGACAAAGCTCCAGAAGATGTTTTGGTTTTGTCCAAAAAAAAGTAACATGGATAAGTAAAATATTTCATATTTGTAACTTTTTTGAATTGTGGAAAACAATACATGATCATATAATTTAAATGTAAAATTAATACAGAAACAAACTGAATTTAAAAACTGTAAAATAAATTTAATTGAACTTCTAAATAAAAGCAAAATATTTTTAATAAAAAAAAATCATGTAATTTCTTAAGATATATATTTTAAAAATCCAAGCCTTTTTTTTTAAATTGTTTGACTGATTTCTTACATTCGGAAGGCGTGCTGTCTCTGACGTGGACAGGATGTCAGGATTTGTGATAAGATAATAAATGTTGACTCCAAAGTATATGCTTCTAGGGACTTGTATCAAAGAAAAGTTTATGTCATCCATGTCCTTTATACCGTATGTCTATTTGTGGCCATTGCTGTAGGAAGAATGAGTGTCACAGCTATTAGGAGGGGCCGAAGACGCCATGCTGAGTGCCCCACATGTCAGCTGAGATTATGCGTTTACTGTACGCCGATGGAGGCTTTTGTTCTCTCTCTTTGTGCTTGTAGAAGCCTTACTCAATCAAACAGGAGCCGTTCTTATGAGAGCAGGAGACACTGAGATGTCAAGAGCTTGTCACGACCTTCTCTGCTGTAGCACGCCATACAGGCAGCCAGGCATTTTTAATAATGCAGTAATATTTCTTTTCTGCTGCCTCCCATTGTTTTGTTTTCTTTTTCTGCTGTTTCTTAATCTTGCTTTTGCTTTTTGTTGTTTCTTTAATACGAAATTGATTAGATTTGACAAGGGTTTGATAGTGTGTTTAATTTAACTGAAAATTTCTACACAAACAAGAATAAATATTAATTGCAAAAACAAATACAGATTATGCCATTAAACAATTTAAATCAAATAATAACATCTGAGGATTCCCAAATATATATATGAAAATATATATTTATATTGGATATAAAAAAAGTAATGAAAAATTAAGGAAATTATTATTATTATTATTATTATTATTATTATTTATTTATTTATTTATTTATTTACTTATTTATTTTTTATTCCGCTTTTTCAGCTTTATCAAAGTTATTAAAACATGTTAACAAAATATATAATTTTCAAATGTATAACTTTTTTTGTCAGACGTAATCTTTTATCAGTACTTCTTTTTTCTTTTAGTTTTTCAACAATTCTGTTTGGGTTGTCAGATGAAAGAAACCATTCGTGATTTGTTCTTCTTGTTAAAGATGTCTATCAGTAAAATAATACTCTCACACACACAAGATTAACGATGGATCAGGCATCCACCAAGATCCCACCATGGACAGGGTAACAAGGCTAACTTTTCTCTGCCCGGTTAACGGCAAACTCAAAACTGCTCGTTTGAAGAATGAGTCGACTCTATTGTTTGTTTAATTGGATTGTGGCATAAGAGCAGCGCAGCTGAGTAAATACTGTGTTGATCGGGACGCTGCACACTGAGAGCTGTATCCCGGTCCGAGTGGTGTGTGTGTGTGGCGAGGGTGAAACCGGATCTAAAAAGGATAAATGCTTATTTGTTTCTCTCCCCTTCTCTATCCTTTTCTACAGTTAACCTATTGGACTCCAAAGCAAGCCAAGGAGAGCTGGGTTGGATATCATCCCCATCCCATGGGGTGAGTGTTGCAGAACCAATCCATATTTCTTAGCAGAATAGATGAGAATAGAGATTTCATGCTATGAGGTTGTTTGGGGAGACAAAAAAAGGCCAGATAAAAAAACAACAACATATTTTTTGGGCCATGTTTTCATTTTTATTTTGTTTGCGTGTGTGTATCCCCTAGTCTCTGTAATTCAAAACAACTTAAAATCTTACTTAATGAGGCGTTTTGAAATTTAAACTTACTTAGGGGTAGTGGTGGGGTAGGACTATATTATAGTTTTTACTGTATAAAATACAATACACCTATGGAATTTCTCTGTAAACCATGGATACAAGTATGTGTATGTGTGGTTTTTTTTTTGCTGGAAAAAAAAAATGTTTTGGCAAAAAAACTAAACAGCTAGTTTTTAACATAAAATCTGAATTTAATGTCAACTTTAGCCTGTATTTTGTGTTATGTAATAAAACTAGACCTGTAAAAAAATATAATAATAAATAAATAAATCAAGTCTCTCAGAACTGCTGTTATAAATGTAAATTAGTAATTTGATGGCAAAGCAGAACTTTTTTAAGAATGCATAGATGTATGGATTCTTTTTTAAAATAATAAGAATAAGAAGTTTTTAAATAATAATTACAAGATCTGTAAAACATGTTTAAGTCAATAACTAAAAGTACAATTACAATTCATTGAAAAAATGTTAAAACAATTGTTATTATTATTATTATTATTATTATTATTATTATTATTGTTATTATTATTATTATTATTATTATTATTATTATTATTATTATTATTATTATTATTATTATTATTATTATAAATGTATGCATTCTGAAAATAATAAGAATAAGATGTTTATTAAACAAATAATTCCTAATCCTATTATTTTCAACAGGAATAAAACAGCATACATATATAAAAAAGTTTCTGTAATAAACTTTATATGTATTTCTATAAAATCTGTTTCAATTCATCAAAAAAATTATATTCCATTGACAAAATTAATCACAAAAATTGGATAACAAGAACCAATAATTGAGTGTCAATAATAATATATAGAGAAAGCATCATAATGGATTATGAAAGATTATGTGGCATTGAAGAAATTTTTAAGACAGTAATAAATTAAAACATATTAAAACCAATAACTAACAGTTATTTAAAAAATATTTTTAAAAAGTATTAAATAATTAAATAATAATAATAATAATAATAATAATAATAATAATAATATTAATATACATTAAAGACATAGTTTTTTTTTTACAGCACACCTTTTTTTTTTTTTTTGTCAAAACCTCAAGGTCGCAACTGTGTTTATTTTTTGCGCTGTACAGGTATTGGTCTCAAGGGCTACTCAGACCAAACCATTCTTTAAACTTTATTATGTGTTAAAATGACTTGCTGGCAGTTGCTAAATGTAATCCAGTAATTTGTTCCATATAGCTGCCAAACCTTGTTTCCCCTTGTTCTTTTTTACTGTTGGCACGATAAAACACAGGGAAGCTTTCTTTTCTTAGAAGCAGCGAAGAAAATGGAAAGTAAAAAACAAGAAAAACACAAAGCAAAAATAAAAGGGTCATTTGCATTTTAAATTAAGTGCTTTTTAATGTTTGGTGCGTTTATGTAAAATTGAGTAATTGCCCTAATTTGTTAGATTAATTTCTACGCGTTCATAAGTTCACCAGAGAAAACACCATTAATCTTTACAATAGGTCCAAAAGGTGATTTAAAAGGAAAAAGGAAATCCCTCACAGATATGTGCTCAATGCTCTGGGATTTATTAAGTTGATGTGCAGCCATTGTCACTACAACAGTGAAGATCGGGTTCTCAAGGTGAATTAACTCTAATTACTGAGGACTTTTCCCTAGTTTGGAGCGATAAGCATTTTGCCCTGAAAGCTATGCCCTCAAAAATGATTTCAAATAATGTGCCGCTGCAGCGCTGACACTGACGGATGGGCCGCCCGCCTTCTGCCAGTGTAAGCACAAATCGGCTCGGTTAAAGCAAATTAAGAGCTAAACCCATTGGACGTTCCCACTGCGGCCGCAGCTCAGATAAGTGCAGTAAATATAAATCGGCTCTGCACAGACAGCTTTTTAAACATGCAGTGCTGTTTATTATGGCCTTTCCAAATTGCATCAGGCCTCAGCCTGGGATTCATTACCCTAGGCAGTTGGATTATTCTTTTTAAACCATGGCTATCTGTTCAAACTGCTACGATCTGTGGTGTTGCTTTGAAGACTCTGTACAATTGTTTCTTGAGTTAGTAAAAAAGCATCTGTGAAGGAGGTGTCAATTAAAGTTTCTTTAGTGTTTGTATTTTGGGGTTTGGAGTGCCTAATTTCTCCAAAGCTGTTTTAGCTCAGGAACAGATAGAAGTGCAAACGACTCTGGAACGTATGCGTTGACTTGGCATTAGCATGGTTTGTAATTCCATTTAAAGTATTTGAATGAAAAAAAAAAAAAAAAACATTTCTCTCTCATAGAAGAAGTATTTCTGGCTATACTAGGGTGTGTTTCCCAAACAACGATGTAACTCATAGTACGGTGCATCGTTTGGGAAAAGAACAGTCACTCACTGTCTTTAAAAAAACGACTTAAAACTCAGCTTTTTAGTCTCCACTTTCCTTACTAATCTGCAATTCACTCTCTGACCCCTCCACTAACTACATTAATAAAAAATAAAAAAATTAAAAATAAATAATTACTACTGTTTTGCTTCTTACACTTTCTTTGCATACCTGAAACTTGCCTATAGCACTTATTCATTGTTGCTTTTATAGTTGTGTAAACTGCTTCCTTGTCCTCATTTTGTAAGTCGCTTTGTATAAAAGCGTCTGCTAAATGACTAAATGTAAATGTAAATGTAACAATGTAGTGACAAGTGTTTCCCAAAACTCGTAGTTTCTCTGTCACTGATCCATTGTTTGAACCTGTAGTTTTGATGTAAAATGCCCATAATTATGCTCTTAACAAGGTGGTAACAACTTCTTAAAACAAGAACCCCATAATATCATTGTGCAAATTATGTTGTTTTATATGCACATACATTAAAAAAAATCCAATATTAGTTTTGGTAAAAACATGAACTAATTTTCCATATTAATTGAAATATGTAAATGGCACATATAAGGCCTAAATATTATTGAGAACATTGCATATTCTATTCTAAAACATAAAATCACTCACAAAAGTAACACGTATTGTAATATCATATATAAATCATATAATTGAATAAATAACGAGGCTATTTATTAAGAAATGAAATTTAATATGTAATATTTATTAGGAAATGGAAAAAAAATCCTAGTTAATAATAATATTAATGATGATGATGATGATGATAATAAAGTTTTATTAATATTATTATTATTATTAATATTCTTCTTCTTCTTCTTCTTCTTCTTCTTCTTATTATTATTATTATTATTATTATTATTATTATTAAGTATATTATTGCTTATTTATGTTTTTTTTTTCTACGTTTACAATTTGATACATGCAAACCACTGCATATGTTTTGTTTTCACAAGCTTTGGAGACCAAACGTAAATTCTACTTTTAAATAATATGTCACCTATAGCTTTCGTCATGAACCACGGATTTGTGTAACAATGACATGCACTTCGAAGGAAACACAATTGTAAACATGAAGATCGCTAAAATGGACACTGTAAAAATACTTTGAAAGCAAATTACACCTAAAAGAGATGGCTTTAATGCTTTTTTGTTTTTGATAATTCCAAGTTTAACTGTTAGAATGTTCTAAACAAATAGGGCATATAGGGGATATTTGTTTGTTTGTTACGCAGTTTGTTACGCAGATTGCGAATGTTCGTTTGAACGATGGATTTTATGTGCCAAACAAGAAGCTATGTTTGTAACGACAGAATTTACGACCTTAGTTGGCTAACAATGGTTTTCAGAAATACACCCATGTTTAGTAGGCCAGGAATACAAATATTTTAAGCAGCAGAAATATATATTTTTTTTCCTTTGGGCTTTGGGCTGACTCATTGTTGAAAGTGTAATTGTAAAAAATGCATACAAATATATTTTTAATTTTTAAGCTGCTTTAGATTGTTGAAAGTGTATTTGTAAAAAAAATAATGCATACAAATATATTTGTGCTGGTTAATTGTCAAGCTGCTTTGAATTAAACTGAACAGCTTTTCTCTGAAATGGTACAATGCCGTTGTTTTTAAATGTTCCTCCTCCTGTGTGTGCATGTTTGTGTCTTCATGTTTTTTTTTTTTTTTTTTGGAACTTTAAAAAAAAAAGAAATATTTTTTTTAACAATTAATGATTAGTCATTATCAAGTTAAATTAAAATAAGCTAACGAAATTAAATACAAATAAAATATAAAACAAACTGTTTTGATTGAAACTATGCCCATGAACAGTCCTTCCTTGTCTTATTTTGGTCTCTGTAAAATCTAGAGGAGAAGCCAGAACATTTGTACCATCTTAGCATAATCGACTGAGACAAAATAGGCAGCAAACATGAAATTTTCATTAGGCATTGCTGAAGTCACACTCTGCCAACGCCCGCAGCGAAAGACAATATATCCAACATGATGCTGAAACTCATTTAGTTTCTCCCCCCGAAAAGAAACTGTGAAAGGTCTCCAGCTGTACAAAGTGCAAAGAAAAACCCCTCTATAAAGGTGGATTAACACGTCATATGGCCGCAACAGGGTGATTGGGCAGCGCACAATGTGTTATGGTTCCTCTGTGGTAAAAGCTGTGATGAAAAGGTATTGACTGATAGGGTACAGTTGTTGCTGTGACCCAGTGCAGGAAATCTTAGATGGTGAAGCACTTGTCATTTCTAGTGTTTCGTACTATATGGTGGGAAATGGCTCACGTATAAACATCAGTCTTTTCCATTTGTCTGTTTGGAGTGATTTGTGCATTCATTCAGTTTGGTATCGGTATTACTTTGTAATCTAATATAGATGTGTTGGGTATACTGTGCATATCTGGAACATCGCTGGGTAAGCTG